GGGAATTATAGTATTTTTTTTCATTATCGCAGGTTACATCCTCATAGAACGGAATGTGAAAAATGCCGATTTATCTCAGTGGGCGCTTAAGCCCATGAGTTATCGCTTCGCTTAACCCCTGTTCACACATTTGCTTGAACAAAATGCGTGTTAATCTGGCTAAAAATGTGTTATTCTAAATATGTTAGTTACTGTATTTTCTATTTTCACTCTTGTACACTGTGCAGTTCCGCATGGCGTCCTCTGGTCTAACACCACTTGAGACTCGGCTCCAAAGAAAGCTGTCTCTGGTGTGGACCAATCCGTTTCAAGGACAATGCATATTTTATCAGTGTTTTTTGTTTGCATTCTGACCACAAGTATTGTGGTTAATGCAGACATGATTCCTTGTAAAGATTTCTGTTCGGTGTTCTGACATCTTAACACCTCTTCTTGGTTCTTTCGGTAAAGTCACGTAGAAGGGAAGTAATAAAATAATACTACTTCCCTTCTACGTGACTTTACCGAAAGAACCAAGAAGATGAATCCCTGCAGTCACGAAAGCTTTAAATCGTCATCTTAACACCTGTTTTGTTGCCAGAAAAAAGGGGAAAACCTATTCTCTGGTCTCATTTATAACGTAAAGAATGCATATTCTTCACGTGCATGTGTGCAGTAATTTTTGTCAATGTATTTGGCTGGTCGAGGGCCGCTTCCCAAAATCATCATAAGGGTGGTGGGGTTTATTTGACCGCACTCCATCGCTCTGGTCAGCGTGGGAACGTAGATGTTGAAGATTGGTACAACTCAACAATGAATGTCCCTCTAATGCCCTCTGCTGACAACATAGCCCCACAGCAACCTCCGACTCAATGTGTTTGCCCATAGAAGCACTATCCAGGCTCGTGTACCCTGCTTTAGCTTCTGAGATGTGAAGAGTATGGGCGGCATTCTGGTGATTTGGTCATTGGCACATATTATGCAAAGCTGGTTAAATCGTATTGCATTGTCACATTATTATTGCCAGCTTGTGTTTCAGTGGATGCTTAATTTCTGTCCCCCAGGCATGCATGTAAGTGTATGTGTAGCAACTGAACTGTACCTACCGGTTTTTCAAAGTCCAAGTTTGTTGTTCATAACATGTGCTCACTCGCTTAATAAGTAATATAAAAAACAACTTTTTTTAAAACACGCTTTTATGAAATGTTCTAGTAATGGAAGAACTCCACGATTCCAGGAAGTGGCCCCGAAACTTGCCATAACGTAAGGGGCCGTGGGCAATTAGACCCAAGCCTAAACATAACATGTAAAAAATAATGTTTAAAACTATAAATTTTTAATGTTTTATGATAGAATATAGTATTGTCATCAGTATGACATAAGTATACCAAGTTTGCAGTCGATACCACATTGGGAAGTGGGTTAAAATTGAGTTACAAGATTTGAGGATACAACGACAACAACAACAGAATGAGTTAAATAAAAGCGTGTAAAAAAGTATATGTTTAAACAGAATGTTGTCATTCCTCGTGTAAATACAGAGATTTCAATATAGTATTTGTATTAATTTCGATATGGTATTTGAATGCAGTATTTGTCTTGACAAAAACATCTGAATTGGTTTTGACCTCATCAACAGTCGGATCTGTTAAACAATTGCGGTGAGGTTGGTAGATGTTTTAGCAAAGAGTGCACGTTCCCAACCATAACATCTGGTTCCCAACCATAACATCTGGCTAGGGTGTGCGAGTGATTACACTACACTTGGAAGGATGGCGATCGTGTTCAAGGTTTTGGATTTTAGTTTTTTAAATGGCTGGATTGCAGGTGGCTCCAACTTGAACACTTTCCACCTGTTTACAATCAGCAGAAAGCTTATTTAATGTCTGCTAAGTTGTAGGAGTCGATGTCATTAAACTGCACCTCAGTGGCTTTTATACATTTAAAGTAGTGTGGTGAGCAGACTTCTCCGTGCAATGTAATAGTTTTTCATCTAACTTTTTTTACTTGGCTCTACAATATAACTAAGACAAAGCACATGCCTCAAGAATTTTTGCACAGTGCACCTCTTTATTGTGCATGAAAAACCTGACTGTTCCTTCGAGTGAAATAATTCTTAGCGTTAATACGCAAAAAATGTTCTTTTTCACTGCTTAAGTATGAATGAGTGCATTACTTTAGGGGATTTTGCCAGTATGAATACTATACAGTGTATTTGGATTATTTCCAAGATATTTGGTTATTACTGAAATATCTTGAGCTCAATCAAATGAAAAGGTCATGCTATACAAACTGGTTACTACATTGAGTTATGAACCTGGCCACATGAGTTCGATTTCCAGCCACGGTTGATGTTGGTAGCGAGTGATACATGACCCAGTCTTGATTCCCCCTACTTCACCAACACTGCACTGACAAGTGCGGTGAAGTGTGACTTAACAACCCCCACCACTGACCACGGTGTGGGAGGTGCCATCCAGCAGTGGATTGACAAACGAGCTGCAAGTTTTATATATACCGTATAGAAAATGTTGGAGGTTAGATTAATGGTTTGCTACTGGCTTCAGGAATCGTATGTTTGGATCCAACCTTGGCTGCATGCTACTCTCGTGCGGGGAAACGTGCTGGTTTTACTTTCACGATACGTTTCCACTACCACCATGAATGAGACTTGGCGGCCCAGGAACAGTCCTGTTATGTCCGGATTGGCACCACGGCGCAGGTCCGTTTGATTGACCCCCCTGCACCCTTTGCTGCTGCTCAGGAAGCGATCTTAACCATTTTCACTGTCCGCCTCGGTTATATTCGGATATCCCAAGATAACACGCATTGTTTTATTTTAGCCGTATTTTTACCCAAAGGTTAGTCTAAGCGTGGGACACCATTGATATGTGTATCCTGCGTCCATGTTGGCTCTGTAAACTCATTATTGGCTTCGAGGTAAGTGCAAGTGAACGTGTTGGGTATCATGTGAAGGTTATCTCCTGGCTGGACCTGCTTACCCAAGCATACTTTGTGTCAGTTGGCTCAGTAGCACTATCATAGGGCCGAAAGCCTGCTTCAAAAACCAACCCGGCATGGATTTCTAGCGGTCATGGATACATAAGCAGACATATCACAAGGGGATTTTAGCATGACATGTATATGTACAGCCCGGATTGGATGAAGGCCTCGCCATACCTTATGATATTTGTTCATTCCTCACCACAGGGGTCAGTGAAAATTGTTGGAGTGCAGAACTGCAATGGATTTTACTGCACTGCCACCTAATGCTAAGTGTCTATTACACCTGCTTACTTATCACCCATCCAAGCTCTGTCCAGGCTCCAGCCTACTTATATTTTGATTATTTACGAGATGGCTAGCATTGCGGGTTATTTAACATTATTGCCAGATCCGTTGCTTTTTATTTGTGGCTGTTATCATACAATGCAGCATTATGAACGACTGTGATCAGTAAGCGGTGGTCATACGCCTGTGATACACGGTGCAGATATATTACAGCCACCCAGGCCCAGTCGTGTTGGTTTGAAGGCGCCAGGAAATGGGAAGGGTGGCTGTCGGGGATGTTAGCAGTCTGCAAACCCGTAGGTTTTCCTGTTGACAATGTCTTGTTAATTTTTCTCCATTGCCAGCTATAAAAGATGTTTCCTATATTGTAGCAGATTGTTCCAATAGATAGTGTCATTTTTAGATAACTGATGCGTTGTGTCTTTCATGATTTATAGACTGTGTTCCGTTTTCAATTGTGTTTTCTATCAGTGGGGGAAGGTTTTTTCTTTTCCATGTGATGTGCAATAGAGGACACGATGCAACGTAGAACATCAACGCAGCGATGGTGAATCGTCTTGAAACATTAGAAATGTGCATTTTCTGTATTCGTAGTTCATTGGGTTTAGTGTTGTTTCAACGCACCACACTTGGCGTTCAAAACTATTGAGTGCCACGGGTATTTACATCTTTTGAGTAACTGCTTCTATTGTCAAGATTCGTGAGTGAATATCAAACATATGGGCACTCTTAACACACGTTTGTTGGCTAAGCAATGTTTTAAACCACAAATAAAGAACAAGTACTTTCAATTCCTAAAAAAAAAATGCTGCACTTTAAAATATTAATGCGTGCCTAGGTTTCCTGTCGGTGGAAAAAGGCCGACATCGGTAAGGTTTCTGATCATTGTGGTACGGTGATTCAGCAGAATAAAAAATAATGTGCACACTGTTTATAATACGCTAGATTGACAGATCTAATTAGTTTTTCACTTGTAACCAGAAGATACAGCCCTGCATGCTGCCTTAACTTTTCAGTGCTGATATTGTAAGTAGCAACATTTTAATACATAGGACATGTATATAATAAATTGAGATGCTTTTAAAATACACTACCTATACCATATATATATAAATGACGTCCTCTTTATTAATTATGATAATTTACTGCCCTTTGCCAATTCACTGCTAGATTAAGTCACCCCCCCTCCCCCATTTTCAAGTGTAAATAAAATGTGATATTCTTATTTGTGTAATACAGATGGGTGATTCTCAGCCTACTAAGTTACATAGAGCTTATGTTTATCTTGCTTTCAAAAACGTATGCAGACTAAACAAAGATAAAGATCCGCCGTATATACTGAACAGACTATTGGGGCAAGTGCTGTTTGTGAGAATCTATGAAGGGTAGCATGGTGCACGAGATGGTGGTGTGGTGAACATGAAGCCTGGGCTGCCTCTTTCTGCCCAGTCCTGCACTGGGTATACAATTAAGATTGAGTCAAGCTTATGGAGGCCCAGGACCGGTTTGGATTACACTACTGATGTTAGCCATCGCTCGGAATCGAACTTTAGGTCGCGGTTTTTGTCGGGCATTACGCCTTAGCACTGCGCAATTGCACCACCACCCATGCATACGCACACACGCACATGCGCACACACAGTCTTGGAAACGTGCCAATAACATATCGGCTATATGCCCTTGACTTCGCTACTCACATGCCACTTTGCTCCTGGACTTGTTGGCTGCAGCCAGTGATGGGAAAGGTGTCGGCAGGATGCTCAGGACTCCGCGATTGAAACGCCGCCGCGTGCCCATCTGCATGGCCATGGAAGCTCTGCGTCCTTGTCGGGGTCACATGACTCTGCTGGCCACCCTCTGCCTTTTGTTGGCAGTTACGGTGAGGAAGCGAGGGACTGTATTATACTTAATATTGAATTGCTTTCTCGCTCGGTGGTATTGTGATATGTGCATTCGTTTTTAATTAGGATGTATTAAATTCCATGATTCCAATAGAATATTCCACTTGTAGTTAACTAATCCGCTGCACGTGCTCATTAAATAATACTTGATTAGATTTTGATGTATGTGCTCAACAAGTGTTGAAGTATTAAAAGGCATAGGAAAATCACTGCTTCATTCCCCATATTAAGATGTGTCCACTTGCACATATTCTTTGCCTTTACAGTCAGAACCTTAAATGGCTTACGAGCTGTGGGCTCCTTACGTAATATTGCGGTAAAGGAGTTATTTTATTTGTGCGTTGTGCTCTAAACCGGCTTTGACTTGTGGCAACTCTAGGTGATGGCTCAAGAGAGAGTGCACACGAGCCCTCCCCTCCTGGACGACAGACCCTTCCTGGTCATCTGGAATATCCCCTCGGAGCAGTGCAAGTCGCGCTTCAGCGTAGACCTGGACCTCAGCATGTTCGACATGTACTCGACCCCAAACGAGGGATTCTACGGACAAAACGTCACCATCTTCTACCCCGACCGGCTCGGCATCTACCCCTACATCACGGACGACGGGGAAACCATCTTTGGCGGGCTCCCGCAGAACACCAGCATCACGCAGCACCTGGACAAGGCCCTCGTCGACATCGAGAAGTACATCCCCATGGACCAGACGGGCCGCTTGGCCGTCATCGACTGGGAGATGTGGCGGCCTCAGTGGCTGCGCAACTGGGACAAGAAGGACGTGTACCGGCAGAGGTCACGTGACCTCGTGCGCCTCAAGCACCCCAATTGGACGGACGTCATGATTACCCAGCAGGCGCAGTGGGAGTTCGAGACGGCGGCCCAGCAGTTCATGGTGGAGACCCTACAGCTGGGCAAGAACCTGCGGCCCGAAGTGCTGTGGGGTTTCTACCTCTTCCCGGACTGCTACAACCACGACTACAAGGACAGCGAGGACAAGTACACGGGCGTGTGTCCCGACGTGGAGCTGTCGCGCAACAACGAGCTGGACTGGCTGTGGAATGCCAGCACGGTGCTCTTCCCCTCCATCTACATGCCCAAAGCGCTCGAGTCCACTGCCAACGGGCGCAAGTTTGTGCGCTACCGCGTGATGGAGGCCATGCGGGTCTCCACCAGGCCGGATCCGTACAACTCCCTTCCCATCTACGTGTACTCGCAGTTGGTTTACATCAACTCCGATAACAACTCGATGGTGGACTATAAGTCGGAGGTAATTTGACAGTCAAAAATATGTGTTGACGGATGTATTGGAAATGTTATAGTCAAGCACATTGTTTTACCTTTGTTAAGTACATATTATAGTCTTGCTGCGTTATTACAATTAATTATAATTTATGTTTTCAGTGCTGATTAAGTGTGTTTTTTTATAACGCAATAAACACATTGTTTAGAAAAAAATTCTGCTTCATTGCAGTGTAAGACAAAGTTTTTATGGTTTACTTGCATTATAATATTGACCTAATTTTACATTACTTAAGATTAATCAACTTTTAATCTGATCATGAATAAACTCTTACAACAGACTTTATTCAAACTGTTGCACTGCCTAAAGCAGAGTTCGTCAACTATATTTTTTGACAGGCCACAATAATGAGTGTGCTGGTAGGCCTTGTAACATCATGAGGCACATATACAGACGTTAAGCCGTCACATGACATCATGGTGTTTGTACATATGACCACTAATCTATACTTCTCAACTTCAGGTCTCTCATGTCCCTAGTTAATCCCTCTCACATCTTACTGAAATGTATCTCTCATCGATATCCCGATGGGTCTACTGGGCATCTGTGAAAAAGAGCTTCGTAGCTCATCGGATTCTTCCACTCTAAATAAAGTTTATGATTCTGGGTCGCTGGCCTGCGTGTCACCAGTTGAACAATCTGGCTAAAGCACTGAATTGGCAGCATGAAGTCAATGCCATACTTACTGGCAGGGTGGCATAGTAGTTACACTTCTGCCTCACAGCCAGAAGCTACTACTTCCAATTCCTGATTCGGGCGACGTTCTGCGTGGAGTTTGTATACGATTCCCTTCTTTGGCTTGGGTTTCTTCTGGGTTCTTCAGTTTCCCTCCCGACCCTCCCCCCCATAGCTAAAATAACCCCGATACATTGTAACTTGTATTGTATGTATGTTAAACTGTACATAGCCAACTGTGCTAATCCCAATGCTGAAGAATTTCCCACAACATACTCAATTTGGATTACACAATGCAACATCGCCCCCCTGCTGTGAAAACTTGCAGGACCCTCCTGAAAAAGAGTCTTGACACTGGTTGGAGCTTTCCTGGGTAACAAAAACCCCAATAATAAATAGCATTACATGGGCAGCATTAATTAAATTCCATGCTGACGATGTGCGTTCCATTGTGTTCATGTTTCCATGTGCAGGTGGATCTAATCCAGAGCATTGGGGAGAGTGCAGCTATGGGTGCTGCGGGAGTTGTGTTGTGGGGTGACAAGAGGTACTCGCAGTCAAAGGTGGGTGCCTGCTGTACTTTGAAATACTATTTCAATTGAGAGCAATACTGGAATACGTAAAGGAATTGTAAACATTAAGTTCGATTTTAAGTTAGATTTCCCTTCTACGTGACTTTACCGAAAGAACCAAGAACATGAATCCCTGCAATCACGAAAGCTTTAAATCGAAAGTATAAAATCTTGTTTGGGCTTTTTATGTTATTACATTACCTAAGTAAACTGCTTTATTGAAAGACACCAGTGTTATCCTAAAACATGCAAAGAAGAGTTTGGAGAACCAAGATGTGCTTAGCAATTGTTTGACTTCGAAGCTCTACCTTTCTCCAAGTTTTTCTTCAGATACCTGCAAACTATGAAGGAGAGCCTTGAGTAACAATCCCAGCTGATGGTGCACCAACTGAACCACGTGGCTAACGTATTAGTTTTGCCGTGTTCCTTTCAGACACGCTGCACGCAGCTGCAGGAGTACATCACGTCCACGGTGGGGCTGTACACGGTGAACGTGACGGCGGCTGCCACGTGGTGCAGCCGCGCACTCTGCGGCTCCCAGGGCCGCTGCAAGCGCATCTCCAACGAGTCCGACGCCTACCTGCACCTCAACCCCAACAGCTTCAGCATCCAGCGTAACCGCCCGCCTCAAAAGGGTACGCTCGCCAGCCGGCCTCCGACATCATTTAGGGCCATACATTCTTAATAAACGAGAAGCTTTTTTTTATTTTACCAGGCAGAATCTAGTGAGCTTTATCGCTCTTTTTCAAAAGCGACCTGACCACCACAAATTATAGCTCAACGAAGTGGCTTATAACGTGAACATTTATAGCAGTCAAATACTTCTTAGTCTCGACTCGCACCTGGCTTGGCCTCTTAACGTATGTACGAGTGTTGAACTTCTTTCACACTGTACGTAGCTGACTGTGCTAATCGAATGCGACCTAACTCAGGCTTGAGCCACTCTGTTGCTTCCAAAGTGGCATGAGTTAGTGGTGGCTCAATCATGGTTCAAGTTAAGCATGGGCTGACTTATACGTGAGCCAGACCCAAGCCCGAGCAGAGTCATGTCTAAGAATATCCCTTCGAGCTGAAATTTGATCAGTCTGGTCACGAAGGTTTATGTTGTTGGCGAGGCACAGAGTGAACCTTTCACGTCTGCATTGCCGATGGGATTGCAGTCACCGGTTGAGTTAGATCATATCGAGACATTGAGTGAAATGCTTGTGGTGTCACTTCTAAGGCATTCCACAACACTACGTATCACTACTTTCATAACATTTACATTGAGTGTGGTGAAGCATGTAACAAATCTGTCACCGTACAAGCGCAGGACAGTTTTGCAGCTGCGTTTTCCAGTTACAAAGTGCAGCTCCTTTCTATTTAACCTTTTGAGAGGTACCTCTTGTATTTCAAGCATGCTAGATATGTAAATAATTAATAGATGCAAAGCAACAAGTACAATTTCACATTCGGTAATTGTAATATTGTGTTTTAGTTTATCATGTTAACCTCTGAAACGTGTTTCTGTGCGCCAATGAACAGGGTTCACCGTCTCGGGAAGGATGTCGCGTGCCGACATGCTGAAGCTACAGGCAGGCTTCATGTGTCAGTGCTACACCGGCTGGAAAGGGCGGTACTGCGACGAGAAGGGATCGTACTCCAGCTCGCCCAGACTGACCGCAATGCCGTGTGCTTTGCTTGGAGTGATCGCCACATTCCTTGTCTTGGCAGTACCCGCACTTTGAGAGAGAGGGACCACGCGTGCTCACATTGCTTTCAACGCATGACGATGTTCCCACGCTCGCATTCGCATAGACAGGAAGAATCGTGATCTCACACGCTTAATCTGTTAGCTATGAGCTCCTGCTTCCCAGCACATCGGACAAAGTGGTGTCGAAAGATCAGCTCGGTTTTCTTCAACATCTCAGAAGCAAGCGTGTTGGAGTGTCCGTCTAACTTGAGGATTCTTACAAACATGCGTAGATGGAATTGACTTTTGAGTCGTTGCGCTGCTTCAGTCATGAATGCACATTGAACGGTGGTAAATTATATAACATGATACTGCAATGACAACACCCTCTTATTATTGAATAGGCAAAGTCCATATCACAAGTCCATACCACCATCATCGACATGGGTAATACCTACCGCCAGAGGAGGCAAACATCACGGGTACAGTTTTTTGTTGTATATGGCCAATAAAGTTGATGTATGTGTTAACTTAGTAATTTAAATATTTCACCTTTATTGACCATATAAAGTCCTCGGTACCACGACAGATTTACCACGTCAGGTGGTAAGGGTTTCTTCTCTGGGGAAAATACGACATTTTTCACCACCCCCCCCCCCCCCGCCGCGTCTGATTTACATATACAATCCCATATCCATTTGTGTGCTGGCTTGGAGTGTAACCCATGTACGGTAATCTGTATACGTAGTAGTAAATAATTCTTGCTTAACGTGAAAATCGATTGTCCGTAGGGGGTTTTCAATGCAGTCGGCTGAAGTGAAACAGGTTTTCACAAATGTTCGAGGTAAGGTGGGCTAGACCCCCTCCCGTTTATTTGGGTTGTACATTTATTTCGTGAACCAGACGCAACGGATGCAAGTCTTTATCATCTTTAGTGTGGCGCCCTCCGCTGGGTGAAGTTGTTAGTGACGTTTATTTTATTTGACGTGCCACGGTTAATCGCTAAAATCGATTCTTGCAGTTACGATATATGCTAAATCATGCGCATGAGAATTGATTGATAATGTATGCAAGTCATATGCAAATTATAGACAGATTGTCCATTTAGGCTAATGGAGTAGGCACAACTGCATTTAAGATATGAAATTAGCAATGAGGCAGTAATAAATGATATTGAGTCTTGAATTACAATTATGCCCCTGCATCTTGACTTTTGAAATGCTTTCCCCGGGGAGAATTGCCTCATGTCTAATTATCAATATTAGACATGTAACGCTGAGCTCGCCAGCGATTCGATATTACATCGTGATTCCTGGTCACCGTGCGATTCAAGTGTTGATTGTGTTTGTATGTTAGGCTGTTTAATTGTTTCCCATGTCTTCTGTGCAGTTGTGTAAAATATTTGCTCTGTTAACTTATTCTAACATGGGCATATAGTTTTCTTAAATAAATAACAGTGAATTGTTACTTACCTATTGATAACAATTGTAATGAAAACAAAACATGTAAAAATATGACAATGTTTAACTACTGCTAAGTTAAAAAAGGCTACGGTTATGTACGTGTGGCCAACCTTTTCGTTGTATGAAAATGATCATTTGTGATGGTGCACTTGTGTAGATGCACAAGTCGTCAAGCTATTTAACAGTTCCGTTGAATCTTCAGCTACCGTATATGCAGAGTGCAGCTTCCGATTGTAGTCTCGTCAATGTAGTCATTTCATAATACTCGGTCTATACGATACTGGAACAGTGTGGTCATACTTGTATACTGCTATGGAACCCGATCTGTGCAATAGGCTATAATATTTTTAGTTAACTTCAGAGCTCTTATTTTTACTTTGGAGAAATGTTACCACAATAGTTTTGCAGCTGCCTCTACTAACATTTAATCCTGCCACTGCTGTATAACATTGAACGCAGTATTGTTACAAATCACCAATACAATTTGTTGCGAGTGTGTCGCAGCAGCAGCAGCAGCATCATCCCTTGATGCCTTTACAAAAAGGAGGAGTGGGTGGGGGGATGTTTACATGTGTAAAGCTGGCGATTGCATGCATCTTGAAAAAGTAACTATAGTCAAGTGTCACTCGGGCTGATGCAAAATAATCTGCCCAAACGATTAACTCTGACATTGAATATCAGCAATCTCGATGTTAATTGAACACATGGCTTTTATGGCCAATATTCTGAATCATCGTTGATTTTTTTAGATGAGCCACTTGATTACCTGGCCAGGTTTGTGTCGTTAAGACCCTCCATTGCCCCGACAGCCAAACAAATGACACATTGTGAGCAGCAGCATTGTTTAGTTTTATTTTACAGCATGTCCGAAGGAAAGTAACAAGGTTTTATCAGTGATTGATAAGTACATTTCGTTTATTGGCAACTGAAAAACATTATGAGCCAACTTGCACACTGGAGGTAAAAATTAACTGTCATTGTTTGTGTAATTTATATTTCTGGGGGAGAGGGGGGGGGTTAAGCAAACCTTTTTGTTAACTCCACGTACATAGGATTGTTTTATTGACCTATACCACAAATACAACATTGTGCCTAACAAGCAGTGCAAATCATATTTGAATAAATATAGTGTTACAGCGATAACTTTAGACTTGCGAGATTTCAGAAGGCTATCAAGTTAGTTGGGTGTGTTAGTATTTCGTTTCACACCATTAGCTTTTGCTTGTATTATGTAATGCGTGGCTGTGTATGCATTACTGTAATGATCCATCAAAACCCAAGGCCAGCATATTTTAATTATGTATAATTAAAGTAATTGGGGTGGAACGAGGGGGGCACAGTCAACAGCGCACTGCACTATCAGCCTATCGACCCTAGTTCGATTCCCGTCCATGGCTAACATCAGTGGGCAAGCGATATCTCAACCAGACCGAGGCAGCCCCTGTCAACAATCCTCACTGACCAGTGTGAAGTAGGGTCAAGCAAACAGCATGACCATCATGGTGTGCGGAAGTTTACATAAAGAGATCAGATTGCATTGTAGTCGTCAGAAATATGGATAAGGCATTTAACTTATCCATACTGATATTACAAGTCTGTGACTTGTAAAAGTTGGTTTCTTATGGCGTTTAAAGTTATTCAGAAGTCGGGGAAAATGTTAAAAAAATATTTTTAATTCATATAGTAGTAAAAAAAACCATATCAAAAAGGTGTTGGATAAATGACTGCTCCTGTGGGTGTGTGTCGATTGCTTTGTTAAAAAGAAAGCAGTACGGTTTTGAATATATACTGTGCTGAATAGCCTGTGGAATAATGACTTGGAGGTCTGACCCTAACTCTGTATACAGCTGATGTTTGCACTAGGGTTGACAGTTAAATACAGATGGAGTTATGACTGCATTGGTAACTTTTGTTTAGAATGTATTGTTGGCGTTTTTTTTTATATCAGTTGTTTGACTCGGAGCTATTGAGCCACGTTCTGTTAAAAAAAAACAAAGGACATGATTTTGAGTGCACATTGCATTTGTCGAATACATGGGTCAGTCCATAGTATCGTGATCAGATGTAACTGTCAATATTAAAACACACTTCATGAAAATGCATCGGCGACACAAGTATTTTTTTCTTATACTGTATTGTATATTGGATTAAGACCACAGTATTTTGCCGTGTCTCGTACATTTCAAAAAGTCAAGATTCCATCTTATTTTGACAAAAAAATATGCTGAATGTGTAGACATAACGGAGATCTGCTGATATCTGCTTCTAACCATAATGCTCCATAACCACGCATGCATTTGTAATCAATATTGGTATTTGTGTTGTACAGGGCCCCATCGTTTAGCTGGAGCTTTCTTTACAATAAAATCTGGTAACCCAGCAGAATTTGTTTAACACGCTGGACTGCTGATGAGACCTAGAACGTCCAAACCAAGTCAAGAGGTTTATTATCCGAACAAATGCCGTTGGATAATGTTCATTTTAAAAGCCAGTAGACTCGTGGAATAAAAAAACAAAACGTATGTGGAAACATGGCCAAGATCTGCTTCTATACTGTTTAAACTTGACAATGGTTAATTCATAAATGAAAATAACTTATTTCATGTGATAAAACAATTTGAGCCGAACACATTACGTTGCTTTCGACTTAAAGCTGGTATTCATGACGGCAGTTTATGGGAGTCACTTTCGAGCTGAAGGAGATGTCACCTTGGAAGGCAACGTATCCAGAGTTGAGGCCGGTTGATCTCTCCGTGTTCCACTGCAGGTTGGACATTCAACCGAGCTCCGTTTGAGGGTACGGGCACATCGATGTGTATGTGCTGTTAACGCAGTGAGTTTGGAGCGTTGAATGCAGTCTGCGCAAATGTGTGCTACATGTGGGTCTGGTTAACATAGCTCCACACAACACATTCGCTGTTTTATTATCCACTCAGCTTATTAGTAGCTGAGAGGACATTACTTTATGATTGTTGAATGCAGATTTAGCCGAAAAGGAAATGGAGCATTCACGTAATTTAATTGTGTGTCCTCTGTGCGATGAGTTGAGCAGAGCTGCCGATGTGATGTCCAAACACAAGTTGTAAGCACACATACTCTGTACATCTAAACAAGTTTTATCTGTGAAATAGAATGCGTTACTGGAATGTGTTTTGAAGATCCATTAACAAGGCGTTTAAACTGTTATAATATGCCATTCGAACTCTTTAACAATACGCTCACATTTATTGTGTAACTTTCGAGGTCTTACAGACATCTGAGGAGGCATATCGTCGACCTGGTTTGGTTTTCCAACATCAAGTTTGAAACACGCCACCTTTATGCGATGCAGCGTTATTGATCCTAATTTTAAATGGTCAATTTGAATACAGCCACAATATAAGCAGGATAGTTTACAGTTATAAATTTGATTCAGAATGATTTATAATATGGTGATGCTGAAATCGATCAATTCCCACTGGATTTTATATCGAACAATACAGTATTGGTGTGTACATTTTACTTAAAGCAATTGAGTATGGATCTTGGAATAGTATTATAATTTCCAAAGCTAATATGGAGCACTTTTAAACAGAGCAGATGGCAACATTTTCATAATTGTGTTTAAAATTGCATTAGAAGTGATAAAAATATATATATTTGGAGTGCTATAATAGCTTTTGGATTGTTTAAAATATTCTTTTAATCTGGTCAAATTAATCTACTGATTGATTGTATATATACACATGTGTGGTTAGGGAATTATGTATTGATTTAAACGTAACATTTGATTAACGATTCACATTTAATTTAGACTAATTTGGCTAACACTTGATTTTTGATAAAGGTTAATGATGTTTTGCATGAAAAGTTCATTTGTAGGTATCTGTTAACTTATTTTTGATGGACATGTAACATTAATATGCTAATTTCAGTAAATTAAAGGCTTATTTAAACCAACGATGTGTTTGAGTTTTTGTGTTTCAGTTATGCAATACGTACCATGTAATATTCAACCTTTTAATACCAACATACTTGGGAATACTGCACTTTCTTCGTATTCTAGGGCAAGCTTGTTGGCACATACAATCCAGTGCTTTGGAGGCGAGAGTCGAGAATTACACAGATTTGCAAAACGGATAAACCCACTGTCAGTTTAACACGTAGGCTTTCGCGACCAATATTATTCATAATCAACGTTTTTTGGGTTTAGATCGCGTTATTTATAAATGTGTCGTAACCCTCCACCACCCGACACGGCCAATCAGTAAAAAAGTGTCACGTTGACAAAAGACAAATAGTTCGCTGCTTTAGCCCACCGGTGTGTTGAAGCGTGAAACCACAACATTTACAATTTGAGTAGTACGACGTTTCGCTGGTAATTGCATCCAGCATCATCGGGCAATTTGCCAGAATGGTGAGGCTCTGCTGTCTCCCGTTTCTATATAGAGCAGCAGCAGCAGGGTGACGTCATCATTAACTCACTGTACTGCCATATGGCCAGGAGATGGCGGTAGAGCGAATGCATTCTTTCTCCAGCCCATCTCTGGGAACCTTTTTGAGTGTTATCTTTGGATACTTGGGGTTTCGGACACTCAGAATAGGAAATTAGCCAAACATTCTAATTCAGGGCCCTCCTTTAATAGCTTTGAGACTTAGTGGGGGCATTCCTAGAAAAAGCCCTCTAATTGGTTTCCACCATACACCTCAATTGATAGAACTGGCATTTGTCCAAATTAATATTGAATGACATGGATTATTTTATCCATTTCCCTCATCCTCGCAGCGGCTTTTGGCTAACCATCTAACAGACAGTCACTGCATCGTGCGCTTTCAGATGCGCTTCTGTGCACGTCTGGAACGCTCTTCCTATATTACGCTCTTTTAATAATTAAGAAACCACTGGAACTGTGCACTTTTAAACGAAGATTGAAAACTCATTTCTTTTGAACTGTTCTTTGTGCTTATTTTTGTGTCCTCCCACACCGTTATTATAAAGAAGAAGGTCAACACACGCAGCTTGAACTTCGATTTAAAGCTTTCGTGACTGCAGGGATTCATCTTCTTGGTTCTTTCGGTAAAGTCACGTAGAATTGAAATAGTAAAATAATAAAATGAAACATAATAAAATAATTATCACGACGTTTTTTACCGAAAGAACCAAGAAGCTTGAACTTCTTTTCTCACACTTGCTGGCAATTACTCTTTTATTTACATCCCCATGAGCTGCATCACTAGCAATCCACATTTTCACAAGCATCTATCTCAAGAGGCTTACAACTGACTCTAGTGGATGGATGTTTATTTGGCACATATATTCGGCAACATCTCTATTGCCTTACAAAAACTGGAGGCAACTTATTAGAGACTTGGAGCACCAGATGCACATCTGCACCTTGAATTTAAAGCTACACTTATGAGATGGGAGTGTCAAAACATTGTGTGCGCCATGCTGGTTTGCTGAAAATGTCGATTACTCTTGAGAGCAAGTGGAGCAAACTATTCATACGTTTAATTTAATAATAGTTTACAGCACTTTTGCTGGCCATCCAACAGTGGATTTCTGACAATCTGCTTATCACAAGGGTGTTTGTCCTTGGGGTTTGACCATACTTCACCAAGCTAGTCATAGTGGGTTCCTGACATGGGGGCCCAGAACAGGTACATATTTGAGAATTTGTGAAATTTTCAATTTGGTGGGTTTGCCGGTACGCTACCACTAGAGGGTAGTATCTACCTATCTAGACTCACCACACCGTCGTCCAATCTAATTACATCACATTGGGGACATTCTCAAGATTGGTTTCGTTGATTAAAATAAAAGATTACATTCACATTACATGCATAAAATTGTGGATGTGAGGATATGTTATTTATGATCTGTGCATATGGACACGCATATGCACACATGTTTGAATTTCTGCGAATGGAGCAGCAAAAACGACCAAGAAATTAGATGGTAGGAGTAAAATGTCTGAGAAATGTCCATGCTTCGTCTGGAGGTGACAACTCTCAACGACCCTGATTTGTGACGATTCGAATCGCTTTAGGGGCGAATTGTAACCTGTTTACTGTCCCATTAGTAACTCGCAGCTCTACATTACAAAATTGCAAATGCCATTATGCTTGAACATATAGGCGTATATTATACTGGTGTGTATGGAACGCATTATGATAAGTAACCAGTCAATCCACTGCTGGATGAACGCCTCCCCAAGTCGCTGCCAACACTCACGATCCTGTGATGCAATCACCGAGCATCTGAACACGAACTGAGATCATCATTACATCTCCTTTTACAGGCACATGCAATTCCTTCGCAGTATTGAAAATTAATTGTGCGAGGTTTAATAAGGTACTGCGTGTACATTTTGCTTCTCCATAACCAGGTGGAAATAGGCTGAGAAACACTGCTAATTTATTCACTTGGCTCATGCAATTCGCAATTACCAGTCTACCTTTGACCGTCGGTACATCTTCGCCCATTCCCACCATGATGTAGAGTGACTTAATGATGTCACATCATGAAACAAGAGGAAGTGGCAGCATTAATGAAAGTTCGCTCTTTAATACCGTCCCATGGTGTAAATGATTCGCAAACTGGACTTGCAATTCAGAGGTTGCCGATTCGATCTTGCGGCGTTGCGACAGTTGAATCCCGCAATTCATGTCCACTCAGCAGGATCAATAGGTACACACCGCTCGTGCATCCATCGGCAGGTCACGTGTGGTGGACTAAAGCGTGAGTACTCCCACAAGATGTCTGGTGAAGGTGGAAAAGTAAGAAAAAGAAAAACCTCTGGATCTCCCTCACGTTAAGGCCCTTCCCACCCAACGGCAGTGGAGGCAGGACATTACAGACCTTTACAAGATATACTTCAATAGGATTATTATAACATCCTATTTTCAATTTTAAAAAATGTGCTGCTCAGCCAAATACTACAGTAATCATGCCATGTGTTTGTTGTACATTGGCTGAAAGTTTACTATAAAAATGCACCGTCAATTCACTAACTTGTATCGTTGAAAATTGGGGAAATGTTTACATCATGCTTAGCCAAAACTCATGCATGTGGGGTTAACTATACGTGGGCTGTTTAGGATCGTTGTTTATAGGTTGTTTTTATCATTAAATTACAAAACTAACTTACTAAATGGCCGAGCAAGGAGGCGTTTGCTGCTGTTTGCAGAGAAAAAAACGAGTCAGGAGACTCAGTGAGGGTGTCCCTTGGTAAGCAAGCACAATAATAATAACAACAACAACACACGATGCATGTATTGTGAGCAGAAAAAGATTGTTATACGTGAATCTATGCATTGTTACTGAAGGGCCGCTGTGTTTTGGCTATGTGGTTATGACCTTCAGCACGCAAGGGTCTCTACACTTACACAGGATAGTCCCTTCGCTCCTTGCGTTTATGGCACACACTTGCCAAAAAGGATCACTCAACTGGTGCACGTGCTACAGGGTAACATTTTACAAGCGCGCACTGCCTGTAAACTCAGCACCCTTCCCACATTACCAAGCTCATAAAATTATACCCTGCAGCATTTGGATCCATGACAAAAATCACACGTTTTGTCCTTAATTTAATTCCATTGAACACCTCCCGACACCCACCTTGTGTGATTCCCACGTGTTAAAAACACACACACAACGCAGATATAATTACTCATCTTTTTCCGTGTAAAAACATATACCGTCACAGTATCAGCAGAACTCTCGTTTCTCCTGACATAGAAATAAAACATTGGTCGGTGTCACTTTCGTGACCCAGGTCGCTCTTGTAAATAAGACTATCCTGGTATCTTGCAATATCACCTGGTTAAACAATAAGAACTTTGAAAGATGAAACTTGTATTGTTTCGTCCATCCGCCTATTGGATTTCCAGCCCAATATTATCCAGCAGCTTTGTATAAGCAACCGAAACGCATGGACCGGGTTCAACAGTTTTGAATCTAATCAGCCAGAGTCCAGCTTGTTAAAAGTCCCTCTTGTTCAACATATACTGCTGGGTTACGATTTATCATTGGCAAGGACACTTTATCTCCACAACGGGGTCCTTTCAAGGCACGAGGCAGTATTGTACACAAACTCTTTGTGTTGTGGATAATTTCTGGCTAAAAATTCCAAACTCAAATTCCGTGTGTGAATATATATACATAAGATATATATTATAGTAAACATTGTCCGCTTGGCTTTTCATACCAATGTAGTTTGTTGCATGTAGGTCACTGATAGCATATATGGCCAAGTGTCAGTTGATGATTTTGCAAACCATGAGTGTTCATATTTTGTTAGCGCATGCTTCTTTTGAGCCTCCTGCGCTACTTGCTGTGCCAGCACACATGATGTGGAGGTGGATGTACAGTGCCATTGAAATGAGACGTCGCACATGACACTTTCACATGAATCTCCACTTCATTCTCCAACGGGCCTTCGACAGCATTTGAGAAGGAGAGTTCACTCATCAGACGCCTCAAGTAACGTAGCCTTCAGTCCCTCTTGGTAGAAATATTCAAAAATGGACATCGTTGTCGGTTGGCGAAACACTTTTTCTCTCTATAAATAACGCTGCAAATAAGCCAAATCTAAAAATATATATTTTGTTTATGCGGATTCTGGTAATGTGGGAAATTTACTTTTCCTGCCAATCTAAGCAAATGTTCCATTATTCACCCTACTGTCAATGGTAAGCGCATATATACGTCTATCCAATGTTACTTTTAGATTCAATTGTATAATGCAGCTAGGGATGACACCACAAACGTAATGTGGTATGCAGCACAGGCACCCCTGCTTTGTGAACCCGGCTGTGTTTTCTCTTTAACTTGTACAAGTACACAGTGGCATATTTGGACAGAAGATGAAATTAAAGATTTTCTGCAGCTGTAAAAACAATCGAAAAAAACTTGTAAGTTTGACCACTCTTGCAATTTATTATCATATCTATTTGAGATTCGTATCGTTTACAAAAGGTCCAAAGTAAGAACTCGGTGTAAACGTGCACTATTAATTAAAATAGTTAATTTTCTAGTAACCGTATGGTACTACGTAACTGTTTCTATTCTATTTAGGGGAATGATAAATTAGTGTCGCTCAGCTTTAATTTTGCATTCTAAACGGTCCCCCTACTAATGTCGACTAGCACGTTGAGATTCATCTGTTATTTCTGCAATAAAAGCACATGAAGGACATGAAATGAGTAATGTATGCACACACCATGCATTATATATTGCAGGCTAAGTGCACGGCACAACCGTTGTCTTTATAAATTTATAGGCACTGTGTATTTACGACTTTATCGCACACAGTATATTCTGTGTAAATCAATGGACGTACACGTGTTTCCAACCTTTAAAATGAATGACAAATAACAACGACATGAAAAGCCTCAAGGTAAATATAACATTTGATTGTGTTTGTTTTTGTATTCCCATTTCCAACTTGAACGAATGTCAACGTTGTCATCTCACATCACATTGTGCTTACTCAATTAATCCTGACATAAGAACTGTAAAATAGGTTGGGTGGGACATGAGGTTCATTAGCCAAGATTTTTCATCAATAAAAGTGTCAAGAAATGGAACACGTCCGATGGAGCAATGAAATCGCTCTACGTGCAGATGCTAGGTGGATGATTACGTTGCAGGATCGTGTTCAGGTGGTGGCAGCTTGTGGAGGCCTTCATCCAGCAGTGGAATGACCTGGCTGATGATATTTGCTGACCCGCCCATACTGGGCATGTGAAAAAAGAGCTTCACATATCATCGGATTCCTCCAGTCTAAATAGAGATTCTGATATTATATGCGCAATGCAGTGTTGGATGTGACCAGTAAAATAAAAAAGTACTCAGACTAAACATGTTCAGTGCAGGTCACAGATACATGTGATAGCACAAATCCAATTTAGACTATAGCTACATCTATAAATCACAATACAATTATGATTAATAACCAGTGTTAATATAACCATAGTTCTCAGGCCTCCTTTGAATACATGCCACTGATATACAAAATAAAAACATAAACAAGGCACCAAGGTCGCTGTACAGTCCTTGTTTTGGTCGACATTGTGTAAAGGCGGCACAATTTGAACGCCGTGGCAAGAGCCCCTTGATTCTGTGCCTGGAGCCTTAAATAATAGAATCGTGAGCGCGCGGAGTAGAGGGTTAACACATACAGTACGGCACGCTGCAGAATGGACAATCCATCTTCCCCGGCAGGCACAGTGTGATGCTGTGCACCGAAAGGGAAGATTGTGCTGAGCACAGCGTTCGGAGTCCTGCCAACCCTCACTGCAATCCCCTGATGGGGCTTGCGTTGATTCAATCCACTCCCGTTACCGAACTGCTCCTTCATAGGGACAAGATGAAACACAACATGCACGGATTGATTCTCTTTATCTTTCTCATCGTCAGCCATGGTCAATCTCCTGCTGGACGAAGGCCTCCCCAAGCCACTGCCACATTCACGATGCTAATGTGTAATGCTCACCTTATGCCTATACGTGTACATGGAAACATTCTACGGTATTTGTTTAGAGGCTTGATGTCTGAGCATTGCTGCTTTTTAAGCTGGCCAATATTTTATATTATGGGGCCTCTTGAACAGTTTCTATTTCATATGATAATTGATCATTTTCAGCCCTCTGCCAAATCCATTACAGGGTGAAGGACTCCACATGCCATCTCGGTTTGACCATACTTCACCATGCTGGCCAGTGCTGGCTGATCAAGGAGGGCAGCGAGTTATTTTTGTTCAATAACATAGAGTGAGTTCGCCTGCGCAATTTATAATGCTGACGCCCCCCTCTTATATAAATGTATTTAGACACATACACTTGCATTATGTAACATCGTGTCTATTCAGACGTCCACATCACCGTCAAAGGCTGCTTTGGAATAGATTCAAAGTGTTGACCTTGATTCCATTGAAAGCTGCATTGCTTGACCTTCTGACCATCTGTTCTGACATCTCTTGGGGGAACAGCTCCCTGCACCCATCCCTACCCTCTCATCCATTCCTTCTTGGCTTAACAAATGGACATCCTCAGCCACACTCAGCGATGCCAAGCAGGATGTCTGCGCCATGACCTTTCGTCACAGGCGCACCAAACTTAAAACGCATTCTTTTACAACCAGAGAAAAAAAGATACACGCAACAAAAAAACCCCGCCTGAACCCGTCCATTCCACTGTGACCACGTGTTACCAGTGTAATCACCTACAATGATCCAACTACCACGGCAAAAAAAACCAGCGCCGTGCATACATGCTCCAGCTCACACACACACACAGCACACCATCACAGCCATCCCCCTCCCTCCCTCTCGCTCTCTGCAGTGCTCCGAGCTAAGACTCCACCTCCTTCCTTATCACGCGTGCGTGACTCCCAGCCCCAAAAACCCACGTACACAGCACACACACCACCCCCCCTAACCGCCAAACCACCTCCAACATCCATCCTCGGAGCTAACCCTGCCCATGTGCCCTACCAACCAAACACTGTGCTTCCCTGCTTGGGGACGCGTCACCCCACCACCACCCCCCCCCATCATAGCCTGCGCGAGCTTGGGGAAGGAGGAGGGGTTGCAGAGGAAGGACATCGGCTACGTTCATCACTGAGCTCGTGCGCTGCGATTGAGACGGCCGGAGGCAGATTGCGCAGCAAGCGGCATCAGCGGCAGTGGCATGCGCCCCGTGCCATTAGCGTCTCGCGCCTAGACGTTGGCACGTCTCTTCCAACCACCGTTAGTAGTTGCTTTCTTCTTCTTATTTTAAAATTTTTTTCTTCATTTTAATTAAGTTTTCCCATTATATTTTGCCCGCCCCACCCGTGAGCTATTTGTTTTGCGCTCTATCAAACTCACACTTACTCTCAACTACCCGCAACATTGATTGTTGTTGTTGTTGTTATTATTATTTCCTTGCTAGGGGGGAGGGTGTCGGGACGGGCGGCATTGTGGAAGCTTCCCAGCTAATCGAGATCTGCAAATGCAAAGCTGCCTGCTGTTCGACCTGCCCGTGTCCATCCCGCTGGGGACCGGCATGTACAGCGGGGTCGATACTGACAGCCCTGTCCGACGCTACGGAGACCCATCGCCTGCACACCTGCCCCCGCTCTCCAGCTACATGGTAAGCAAGGAAGGGGCACACCGGGGAGATTCGTCACACCGGCATCGGAATCTTGGAATCCGATGAGCTGTGAAGCTCTTTTTGGGGGGGGGGGGGGTCTGAACAGACATCAAATATTGGCGGGTCAACACACACACAAGACAACGATGTCACCGGATAACCTTTTGACAGGACTGGTGGGGCAAGGGCTGTTGGGGGTGGGTGGGTGGCCAGCGCCACGCCCGGCTGCCTTTGTCTCCCCAGTGACAATGTGCACCGGGTTACTCATTTGAGGTCGAGAAGACCATCACACACCACCACCACCACTGCCACCAGCAACAGCTTCTGCTTTTTTGTTACCCACCGAGTCTCAAGACTCCATTTTTCAGGAGGGTCCTGCCAAGTATTGGATGTGCTGCACTGTATGTTGAACTTCTTTCGCACCGTACGTAGCCAACCATGCTCATCGGAGGTGCGGGCTATTCACAGTCGGGGGGCGATGCTGCTATGTGTGTAATCCTAATTGAGTCGTTGGGATGTTTGACCAATGCCAGTTACATTGGGGGCTTTGTTTTTTATATGGGAGGAAGCCCGTGAACCCGGAGGGAACCCATGCAGAGTTGGTGGCAGAACTGAACAAACTCCACGCAAAGGGATTCCGAGTCGGGCATCAAACCCAGGCGGTGTTATACCACTGTGTTATACCACTGTGTCATACCACTGTGTCATACCACTGTGTTATACCACTGTGTCATACCACTGTGTCATACCACTGTGTTATACCACTGTGCTATACCACTGTGTTATACCACTGTGTTATACCACTGTGTTATACCACTGTGTTATACCACTGTGTCATACCACTGTTATATACCACTGTGTCATACCACTGTGTTATACCACTGTGCAATACCACTGTGTTATACCACTGTGTTATACCACTGTGTTATACCACTGTGTTATACCACTGTTATACCACTGTGTTATAGCACTGTGTTATACCACTGTGTCATACCACTGTGCCACCATGCAGCAGCATGTGTCACCACATTATGGGATACTGATAATGGACAGATCTACATACAAGCCCACGCTTGTGTGTAGTATGTGTTCCTCCGCCTGTGTTGACACCAGCACCATCCATCCATTCATCGTCACCGTTGTAATCTCGCAAGAATGTGAATCTGAGCGTGATAAGTGTGTCCCTGTCAGGATCGCACACGCACACGGCAACGTGAACGCCGTACAAGGTGTGTTTAATTTAGAGGGTTCTGGACAATTGTCGCATTATATTGATTTGTTTCTTCTCGGTCGAATTTGTAAATGCTCCTTTGTTAAGCGTCTTTCACCATGCCTTAGTTTGGTTGTGTAAGACTGCGGCATTCTCTGCAACCGAAATGGAATGGCAAGCATTTGCAGGCGAATGGGTGTTGTTAGGTGTTCTTTTTTTTTTGGGTCAGTTCGGCGTTGTGCTTCCTCGATGCTTGCCAGCACGAAAATATTTCCCGGCTCGAGCTGGGAGGGGGAGAACCAAAACCCCAAACGTCTCGAACCAAACCCGTGTAATAGAAGTCCGTACCCTTGGGGTGCCCATATGGCAACCCTCAAAGCAGTATGTTGCTATGATAACATGGTCCAGGTACTGCACACCACGACACTGTGGCGAGCAAGCGCGAATACGCTTGCTACTTATTTGGCAGTGTGTATTACGTGCAGCAGCCTGGCACTGCTATCTCACTCATCTCACTTTGGAGAGGAAGCAAAATCTAATAAATACCGCTATTATCGTGTGCCCATCCCCGGAAGCAGTTCCTCCCAGTGGGGGGGTGGTTATTTATTTTTCCAACATGTCCTAGTAGTAGTAATGTGCAATCGTGTGTGTGCGTGTGTCAGATCCTCAGTTCCGTATCCCAGTATCCTGCCCATAAGGACGAAGGGGTGAGCGTAGCGACAAACCCAGACATTCCTGGAGCCCCCCGTTCCTCAACGAGCCCCCCACCCTTCGTGTCCGTCAAAGCCAAAACACCCCCCCCCCCCGCAAGTCTTTAAAGCAAAGCGCGTGTGGAATTTACGGCACTTTATACAAAAAAAGCAAATTCCTTGAGCAACGTGGTTGCAATATGCTCAGCTTTGGTTGCATTAACAAGGGGCGACACATCGTGCTGCTACTACGACTACACATACCCTGCCCTGCCCTCTTGCCCTCCATTGTCTCGTCCTTGTGTCGCCCTTAGTCACCGTCAATGCAGTGGCAGTGGCATTGTGTGTGTGTGCGCGCGTTTTCATCGGCCCTCAAAAAGCAGGTCAGGGCCACTTATTCACTGAGCTATTCGGAAGGAATGGACGGCAGGATGTCCTGTTGCAGATCCACGCGTTGCGCGCAATTATAAAAGCACGGACTCATCCGTATGACTGTATCCAGGACGTGCCCCGCAGATGGGTATTGATATCCTACAGTCATCCCATGCGGTCTATAAAACAATATCTCACATTTAAGAAGGCGGCGTCAACTAATGCAGGTTTTTTTGGCAAGGGATGACTGTGAAACGGCACATGATAAGCAAGCAATCCTCAAGTACTATTTTAATTATGCATTGTTTTTTTTTTTCGTATGGTGGTTTAGTTGGTCTTGAACGTTTACATGTTCATGGTGAGGCTTTGTGAGCACGGCGAGTAGCTTCAGGAGCATTTACCTGGCTTCGGTCAGGCTACCACATTGGCTTCGGTCGTTTCGCTTCAGTTGCTGTTGAGTTTTTTTGGGAAAATTTGCTGGTTTATCAAGGAATAATATTCAGGCTCCTCCCACCCTCAACCAGTATATATACAAGGACTGTTTTCTTGGAATTTCTCTCACTTGATACAGCTATCGTGTTGTGACGGTTCCACCTGAAGACGGAAGCTTGTGTTGCCTCTGTAACGTCGTGATTTTTATTTTATTTTTTATTTTACTTTTATTAATTTAAATTTTTTACCTACGTGACTTTACCGAAAAAACCTAAGAATATGAATCCTTGCAGTCACGAAAGCTTCAAATCTAGAATTATCCAGGATGTTTCTGTTGCGCGTCGTCGCTTTAAGATGTTCTCCGTTCATATTTTGTTTGTTGCGGTTGCACCCGACTTAAGAGCCGCATGGCTCACAGGGCTATACCAAATAAATGAAACTTGAAACTTGCTGTGGTCCGTGGGTTGACAGTGCCGGCCAGTCGGCACTGTGTGACGACGAAAGCATTGAATTGTGTCACTATCGGGGGTTGGTCCTCCGACGTCCCACGGGAAAAAAAATATTTACGTAACGATTTCCAAAATTGCATAAAACAAGATAACAATCAGCTGCAAAGCACGCAAACGTTTCATTAGCTGCACAATATATATTTACTAAAACACCCGATGAAACACTACAAACAGGATTTCCCTGTGTTTCTTACAAAGCACCGTCCCGTTTCCCACACACTATTTGATCACAACTACACATTGTGTATATATGTAATGTGCCAGCTACTAACTCGCAACATATTAGCCGAGGGCAACACTCTCCTTGCAAGGCAAGGCCAGATAAAGTCCCAAGTGTGTAAAATAAATAGATGTTGCCTCCCCAGACTATAATAGAGAACTATTCTATATCACACTGTCTAATAAGTAACCAGGAGTGTTGTTCCTATAGAAGGCTCTGCCAGGGAAGTGTCCATATGTTCCAGCCGTGTCTTAATCTACTGAACACAGTCCGCTTGCCCTAATTCTCGTAAAGCTTGCAAGGCATAAATATAGCAGCAGACTTGGTGGGAGCATCCGTGTGGTATAAGAATAGTACGTGTGTTCACAGTAGAACTCCCCTTATTCATTGCGATTTGGTGGACAAACATCGCCAATCCTCGAATCCCACCGGGCTCTCCACAAATGTACTTCACTTATGTATGTGGGGGGGGGGGGGGGGGGTGAGCGAACAAAGAAAATTCGGATAACCACCGATAATAGGAATAGGGGGCATGTTTAATATAATAGTTGTGGGTAATAAGGGTTCTACTAAACTTATTGATCGGCAAGTTCCCTGCGCTAGATACTTCACTGTACTCGGACCTGTGGTCGTCGATGGGATAGTAAAAAAAACGCAGCCACAAGCGGCAGCCAAACTGCAGCACTGCCACATCCCTTAACAACAAAGCCCCGTCAGCCCCCTAGTGGCCCAGCCACGTTGCAGGGGCAGACTCAATAATTACAGATTCACCACCGTTGTTGTCACGTGCCCGAGATATATTTTTTGCTTCAAATTGTTTACTAGCTTTACCATAATTGGCTTTTTTCGACAGATAAAAAAAAATTCAATAAATGCATTCCAAAGTTAAATGTTTCAATTAGTTGGGAGGCTATTGGTGGGGAGATGTTAAATACCTCGCCTGGTATGCAGAAGGTTACGGGTTCGATCCTGACCCTGACGTCTGTTTATTTGGAGTTTGCATGTCTCTCTCCCCGTGGTCGCGTGGATTTTCCCCCGACTCCTCCAGATGTTCCCTACATATTTAGAATCAACATGCGTTTAGAGTATTTGGCTGCAATACATTTCCGTATGATAAGCGACTTCGTTGGGCTCTCATTTGTGGCCATGTCTCTTCTGACAGAGAGCTATAGAGCTCAGTGGGCCTTACCTGGTAAGGTAATATAAAAAATAGTTTAACATTGTTGTACTAATTTTAACCACTCTATTATGCGTAATCACCATCTTGAGCCTTGGCTAGTCCACTGCTAGATGAAGGCTTCTCCCCCAGCGGCCACCATATCTCACAATCCTGCAATGTAATAAAAGATAATTGCATATCGGCTAATCTCAATGCTTCATCGCCTTTATTATCATGACAATTTTTTAAAATTAATTACAGTATAATAAAATGCAGGAATCGTGTACGTATGCATGCTTTCTTTTCCTCTCATATATTACCTATGTACGTATGTTGAACTTCTTCCGCACCGTACGTATCCAACCGTGCTAATCTGAGGTGCGGTTAGACCTTCAATAGTGCTGTTCGT